AATCCTTGTACAATGCTTTTTGGTTTAGATGTTCAAGAGGTTTTGTTGTTTTTTTTTTTTGTAATTGTTAGGCAGATACGTTTTGCCAAACTTTAGATACACATAGTGAAAAAATAGTTCACACTTGAAAGTGTATTTATAATCCAAGTAAGATACGTGAAAGAAACCTTCTCTGTGTTGCCAGCTTAAAAATTCAGCAGGCGTTTGTGGGCTCCAGACAGGGACAAGCTGTGGAAATGCATCTGCTCTACCTCCTAGCCACAGACCTAGAGGGTTCAGGAGTGATTTGTTGCTCTTACTACACTTCTGCACTGCAAAAGATCTTGGATCTCCTTCAGCCAAGCTCAGCTTTCAATAGTTGAAAGAGAGCTTGCACACATCCCAAGTGTCTGTCCCTCTTTTAGAGGGCTCTTCTGCAGAAACCAGGACAGACCTTTGCAGAGTTCATTATGATGCAAAGTTGGCAAGATAAGACACTTAACATCCAGAAATTTCTCACTGCTGTCAGCTTGGCTAAGTCTCCCGAAGTGTAAATTCATAAAATAAACCTCAGTAAGCAGCTTTTTACTTCCAAGCGCAAGTTAACCATAGCTTAATAAGACTTCCATATGCCAGGGAAGTAGAAGCCATGCTAAGTGTACTTCATTACTTAATTCACTGTGGAATTTGCTGAATTTTGGACGTTTGATTTTGCAGGTATAATAAAGAACTTGGGCTGTTCTTTATACGTTGAGTATTTCAGAGTTTCAATTTTGATGAAGGAAGAAACAGTAAAGCAAATGACCCATGCAGCTTGAGTTCTCTTGACTTCATCCATACTGCTCTGTAAATTCTTTGAGCCCAGAAGTCCATCGTGTGTGCTGTGTGAGTGTGATGCATACATAGCAAGTTATTTCGTGAGATTTAGTGTGACTTCCAAGATTTTCATATTAAGAGTAAAGGAGGAAGTCATGGCAAAGTTGTGTAACCATATAGTTCTAACCAACTACCTTAATTGTTTGTTTTATTAAGTAATTTGTATCACTGTAGCATCTTCACACGAGATTATGAGTGCACTCTGCGAACGTTAAACTTGATGATACCTCTGAGACGAAGGCAAGCATTTCTCATTCTTCAAATTGGGAAAAAAATGTAATAGACAATTTGGCATCGCAAATAGATGGCATCTATAATACAAATCCTTTACAACATTGCCAACTAAAGATATTTCTGTTCACTCTCAATCCTACGATTCCTTCTGCCATGCCAGTTGGAGTGTTTGCGTAGTCTTATGCTTAAATAGAGTTAATTTCTAAACAGTGTATCCCAATGTAGTTCAGTTTTTCTGATTGGGGCGCAGCCCCACAGTGCTGAATTGTCCAAAGTAAGGGGAAAATAACCTATGTGGAAAGAGCCTCTTAACCGAGCTCGTGCTAAGTTAATTGTTTGTGCTGTAGGTGAATAGCATTGGGTCCTACCAAAGGTAGCAACAAGAACTCTGTTGGTTTCATCTGTGTGGATTTTGCCAGTCTTCAGCAAAGCTAAAAAGATAATTAAACCTGTGGAGACTTAAATGCAAAAACTTCACATTTCTTCCCTTACTGAGCAAAAAATATTCTGGCCATAGCATTCAATTTCCTAATACACTTATGTATAACTAATACAAAAACTAAACATTCTCTAGTTGGAAAAAAAGAAAGGTACCTCTTTTTAATCTTAGGGATGCTAATTATAGATAATTAAATCACAGATAATTAAATATAAAATTTTGTTGCATCCTAAGCAAAGTGAGTGAAACCAAGATTTTATTATGAAAATGAGATGTCAGAGACATGGCTCTGGGAAACATGCTGTGGAAAAAATAATAATAAAGCCCGAGAAATGTGATGATAAACTTGAGGCTTTCAGTCCCTCTGGAGGAAATATAGTGTAAACCTTAACTCTGCACGTCTGCATCTCGGTGTCAGAATGGAGCTCTTCAGTCTATCTTTCATGGACTTCAAGCTGTTTTGACAGTCTAGCAAGAACAGCCAAGTTTAATGCATTTCTTTCATTGCTTCTCAGCCATAGTATGTTCTTCCCTGGCTAAGCTTTTATCTGCAAATGGGGTTGCTTACTATAATAATGGGAAATAATTGTCTCTTTGAGTTAGAGTTATTTCTTTCTGTGGCACTCGTCACAGAACTTATTGCAACGCGCTATGCAATAAACGGGATTTCACATGTAGGAAGCAGACTACAGCCAAACGTTTATTGCAAGTGGCAACTCTGAATTAAGTCCATCATTGCAGCAAGGCTCTGCACGTATTTTTGCCAATTTGGGTTTGTTGTGGCCTGACAACGATCCTGCAGGAGTAGAACTCAAACTCTTAAAAAAATTATTTTACTGTAAGGTTTACAGAGGATTATGGCTTTTACTTACTAACCAACCAGCCAGATATTTGAACCAGCAGCTCAGAAGTGAAGGCTTCTTTCTGTCCTCTGCGGTGCACTGGTGCCACATGGGCTGTTTAACAAAAGTTTTAAAAGTCAGCTGTGTTGCAAAGAGTTGAATGTTCTTTTTTGTTCACTGTGCCTGCCTGCATAACTGCATTTTTTCTTGGATTTACAGCTTCTGTCAGTCCTGTACTTTTAAGAGGCAGTTTAGCTGATTTAGGAAGTGAATCAGTAGATTTAATGGACTACACTGATCTTACTTTAAACAGCTAATTTTCATTATCCCTGGGGCTATTTGAGACGAGCAGGGAAAGTGGGGCTGGTCTGATCTGATTACATTTCATTGTAGTCTCCAATGATTGACTATTTAGTACATTTGACTGGGAAAAAAAGCTTTTCACTTTTAAAACTGCCAGACTGTATGGATTTAGTAAAAGCTGGAGATGGCTTACCATCTTTATGGTGAAATTAGGTGGGCACAGTACAGGGGTCTAAAAATAAAAAAAAATAAAACCAGTCCAGTCAGGTTCGCTTCATTTGGAAAGAAACCCTGCCATCATGCCTGAATTCTAACAGTGTGATGCGGCTTGGGTAGTCCGAAGAAGCTTTGTAGAGGGAAAGAAGTTACCTTTTATGTAAATACAAAGAAAATAAATAAGAAAAATGTTTCTTTCTGCATTCAGTAGACTCTTTAATTCTTTGTGTTTTAATTGACAAAAAAAGAACCGTACATATATCTCATCTGCGCTGTAGTTTGAGGCAATTGCATTTACTGCAGAGAGCTGTGGTAGCTTTATTCTGTCACTAGATCACAGTGTGTTTTCCAGCTGCTTTTACTCTTTCCATTGGAAGTTTTATAAACTCTTTGAAAAGCCATTGTGAATTTCCAGGGCAGATTAATACAAACTTTTGGTAAGGTTCTGCAGTATGCATCTCTGTCTTGATACACTTACGTAGTGTATCTTCGGGTTTTACAAGCTTTGTGGTATATATTTTAAATGCTGTTTCTTGTTTGGACTTTGGGAGCTGAGCACCCTTGGGAATAGTTTAGAACTTCACAGCTGTGTGGTACCTCTGTGCTTAATAAGATCAGCAGGCCTGCCATATGCTAAAGCACAAGGTTATTTTTAGTGTAGTTTCCTTGAAACTGCTATGAATCAGGTGTTAAAGTCTGAATTTGCAGAGTGGATAGTTGCTGATGCATGGGATGATGCGTCCCTTCCCTGAGCACCCTCCTTCTCCCTCTTCCTAGGTCAGCACGGATCCCTTCCAGCTGAAATCAAATAGCAGCTAGTTATAAGATGTATAAATAGTGAGGGCCATGCTTCAGAAAGACCCGTGCCAGCTCCACTATATGAGAAACTCAGCTGCTTCTACCTTGGGAAAGTCTGCTGTGTCTGTGTTCTCGTAGATCTTCTGTTGAGCGCTGCCTAATTTCTTTTGATATCTGACAAAACTTATTGCAAATTGTAGAAGTGGCAGAAAACTTTTATATAACATGAACTCATAGTAGCAGGTCTGTTATAGTTGTTGAATTGTTTTGCAGTTATTTTTAAAGTTCCTTAGTATTTGCATGCAAATTAAAGCAAATTAAACTACAAGCTCAAATTAAACTACATTGCTCCAAAAGCAATGCCTCCTATTTATTTCAGTGCAAACTACAGCAAGTAAAAAGAGCACAGTAACACTATTTGATAGAGCAAACTGTCATCTACAGAGCATTGGGTGGGGTTTGGCTCTGGGTCTGCACCTGCTAGGTGCTTCTGCATCTCTCCCAGACTGTGGAGGTGAGTTCCAACAGCAGCAGCTTCCTCAACAGCAGCACTTGATGCTTGAAGCTAGAGGGGCTCCTCTTCCTCCTTTTTGCTCTTCCCTCAGACTAGATAAAGACTGTGGTGAGTACCTCATCTGAGTGGGGATAATAGGAACAGGTAAGGAGATCATTTAAAATCTAACTAGTTTTTAAGTATATGCTAACAGTCTGGCCAGTAAGCACATCCTACGTACAACTTTGTGAGAGGCCTGTGTCTATTGGGTACCATATAAAGCTAGGCAGCAGAAAGCGTCGTGCACTTCTCTCCACTTAAAACTGCATGGATTTGAGGGAATTGCACTGTTACTGTCTCTCATAGTGCTGGATGATTCCTCTTTTCCAGCAAGATTTGTATCTGTGCTGACAGAATACTTGAGGTCAGCACTAAAAGTGATGCAGCTATACCAACGCTTATCGCTCCCAACTCAGGCAGACTTGCACATGAGGAACTGATCTGGAAAACAAGGTGAGTGAAGAAAGAATGAATACAAAAATGCTTTCAGTCATGTTCAGATGCTGTAGGTCTTCCTGTTCTACCTTTCCTTATCTGTTGATAAGCAGTAGCAGTAATGCCCACCTTAATCATTTATTAGCTATATGAATACTTCCAAATTATTTCTCTTTGTTGTTGAACAACTTTTGGAGGGTGGATGACAGTTCTTCACCCCGATGGTGATGCTGTGTCTTGCACAGATAGAAAACAGTTCAGATTAATGCATATTATAGATCATAATGCTTTTAAGGTGACACTTCTGTTTGATGTTTATCTGCAGAAATTGGAAAAATCTGACTTGGATAACTGGGAGAACATCAGAGGACCCCAGCTGTGGGAAGATTCCAGGACTGTTCAGAAGCAACGGCGAGAGGCTGCCCGTCTCAAGACAGAGTGATTGAGCAAGCCTGCTTTGCTGCCTACGGAACCAAGTCTCAGGCTGGAGTACCTTATGTTCTAAACCAGCATCAGGAACAGATTTGGGATGAAGGAATTGTCCTGAGCAATTCATGCCAATATGTATATAACTAAATGCGAGATCAAACCAAAAAGCACTATGTTGTATGAAGCTCTTTGTTTGCTTCTGTTTGCACAGAATTCCACAGGCTGTATATGAGAGTTCTCAATTAAAAAACAAAACAAAACAAAACAAAAAAACTGATTTTGGGAATATCACAGTTTTTCATTGTTTTTTTGACAACCACAGTTCAAAAGAGAGGTTCTTCAGCAAGAGTTCACATTTCAAGAGTCATTTCTCAGTGCCACAGTGAAAACAACAGTGCTGTCATCTTGATGTGTGTGACCAGATAAGTGCTGCTTTGGAGAGCCCCTGCATGACTTCAAGCTCTTAAGCTTGGCAGGGACTCCACAGGCATATGAACTGTTCGGAAACAGTGAGCTTGTTTTTGGCTAAATAATGTTCTTGTGTTTCATTTTCAGGAACTTGTCTGTACAGGAGCATGTGCAGAGTGTCAGCTGGTAATTGGTCAAGTAGCATTTATTTAGCTGTGGGCTGATTTTTTTATTAGTTTAACTATCAGTGTCTGCATGCAGGCAAGACCTTTGTGTTGGAACTTCTCAGCTTAAGTTACCAAGACGTGTGCAGTTTTCATGTGAGCAAGCATTGCAGCAGCATCTTCCTGAAGTACTGTGTAGTGGTAAAGGGCATCTTATGTGTATGATTACATGCCTATTTGTGCACATGCTCAAAAATGCTTACCTTTTGATGAATTATTCTGAAACATCTTTTTGTCTTTGCTGTTTATTTGCTATTAGAGGAGGATATGCTTCTTCAGAGGAGTAGAGCACTAGAGCACAAATTAACTGTAGATTCTGGATTCAGAGTATTCAGTGATGCCTATAGATAAAAACCTTGGGAACTCACAAACGTGTGGTTATTCTCTCTGCAGGGGATTTGTGAAATGCAATCGAAATGTCCTTTTGGACACTTTATTTAGGGGTAGATTCCTTGTGCTCATGTAAATCTTCCCTCAGCATGTAGTTTTTTCAGTCTCTTGTGATAAGGTCCAGTCTTTCAGGAAGCGAAAATACCTTGATTTTTGAAGAGTTTGAGGAGCAAGTCATAAAGCAGTAAGTAAAATGACTTCGCCACGTTTTCTGCAGGTTTTCTCCTGACAGAGTTGTGAAGACCATCAGAATGTGTATCTCGTTTGGAACAAGGCTGGAGCTGTGTGTTTGTGCGTTTCCCTGTGCAGAACCATATGTACCTTTGCTTCTAAGTAAATGTGCTAGCAGATAACCATGAGAGGACCAAGAGGAGCAGTACAAGACAAGGCAAATGTATATGCTATAAGGAAATTATTATAAAATTATTATAAAAACCAAGAATGTGGGGACATTAAGGTTTGCTATAACTAGAGAAGAAGGAACATTTCATTGTTTCTACATTCTTTTTTACCTGCAAGTTAATACGATGTTCTCAGGCGAAGAAGATATAAAATAAGCACAAATAAGGAGCAACTCAAACTACCTAGCTTGCTAAGCATCTTTTCAGCTCCTAAATTCAAATTCTGGTGCAGCTCCACTGGCAGCAGCAAGATTGATTGCTCAGAGTGCAGTAAGTGCAGTGACAGCCTTCCCTGAGCTAGAGCTCCTACTAACGCTAGCACCATGGCAGCTGCTGAGGTGCTAGCTGGGCCACTGGAATTGCTTCCTTACGTTGCATGGCATAGACCCATCTTAAGTGGATTCTTCAGATTCATTATGTCTATTCCAGAGGAAGTGTCTTCCTTTCCCAGCCTTGACTGAAGTTACCTTTATTTTGCAGATGGTGAGGAATCAGTAGCTTCCAGTTTTGCACACATTAGGTATGATACTACCCCTGAAATAAGCACGTAGCTTTCTAAGAACAGCACATAGGAGAAGTTACCTCTTCCCTCATGGGAAGAAGAAAAGATATTTCTCTTTGATGAAGCCCTTATGTGTATCACGTTCCTTCATGGCCAAATCACACACTGAAAATAACCCATGTATTTTTAGGAAATTGATACGAGGGGTATTTTGGGATCAGTAATCTTATTTTAACATTTCTGGAATGTGGTTGCAGTTAATTCTGTGGAGAACACTTTTAATGTTGTGATGTAGGACCCAGTTTTGGCTTTTGATATTTCTTTGTGGGTTGCAGTGTTCCCCTACTTCTCTTTCACAGGTGTTGTATTTCTTATAATTTCCAAGGGCATATTTGTAACTTCCTTTGAGATGACATCTCTGGAAAGTGATGGAATTATCTTAGCACAGAAATGACATGCAGTTGGAAAACATTTTAAGTTGCCCCTTCTCTTCAAGATACGCATGAAGCGATAGTCCCAGTTGGACTGAATATTGAGTGATCTTCCACTTAAAAAATCCCATTTATTCCCCCCACCCCCTTTTATTCGTTTTTGAATTAAAACAACAAAAACAAAACAAAAGAAAAAAAGCCAGCAGTGACATTTGGCAGCTTCAGAAGCTGTCCTTTTCATAAAATGGGTAGAGCTGCCTCAGGATTTTTGCCTTATTGCCATGCATTTGGACGACAGCCTCGTGTTTTATGCTGTGCTTTTCTCAGCAACAGAATTGGAAATAATACTTATGAAAGTACCAGACTGAGAGACACTATTAAAGTCTCTTAAGTTGTCACACATCCTGAAATAGAAGACACTCCAGAAATAAGGAGAATTGTAGTTCGTAACACAGAGAGGCAAACATTTGTTGGTTTGGGATTCATGCTTATTTTGATTGTTTTTTTTGTTTGTTTGTTTTTGTTTTGTTTTGTTTTAATTATCCTTCTAAAAGCCACTTCTGATCATCTCTAGGGTACCTGGGAACAGCCCTACCGAGTTCCTGATTTGTCAATCTAAGCGTCCAGCACCTGTTGCTGAGAGTCCAGAGTTGATGAATTACAGCTGTCTCCAGGATCAGGAGAGCTTTAGCAGAGGGTTAGAGGAGGTGGTCCCTAGAGGTCCTTTCCAAGGCCCTGTGAATCTGTGAGCTCAGTGTAGCACCAGTGAGTGTCCAGCTGGATGGTTGCCAGCTGTTAGCACTGTTTCAGCAGTGGGGACGGCAATGGAAAAGAAAAGTTCTGTTCTGGGCAGCCATGCACAGCTGTGATATCACAAAATGAACAGCGTCTCAATCAGCTCATGGGCAAATGGTGGTGACTGTGTTGAAAAACAATGTTTTGTAGCTGAGAATTTGCTCTATCAAATAGTGTTATTGTGTTGTTTGTAACTGTTGTGGTTTGCGTGGAAACAAATAGAAGGCATTACTTTTTGAGGGACCTAATGAGAGATGTGTGGTGGAACTTTTAAAGCAGACTACAGAATGCAGAAACTTCTTAACAGTGTCTTAGATACACCCCATCAGCAGGTGGGGAGCAGTCCTGACAGACAGGATCGGTAGCACTGATCGGTGTTGGCAGGAACACGTGCACAGTGCTGAGCACTCGCATCAGGAGAAACCCATTTCTGCACAGAGAAGCAGTAACCTGGGGTGGTTTAAAGGTGAGCGTTCTGTGGAAGTTTTACAGTTAACTGCGTGTACACTGTGTACTGTGTTTATAAGTGAAACTTAAAGCAGTATGTTTCACCTTCTGAAATCCTTGTAATTCTCGATGATCTTGGATTTGCTTTAAGTTGCTCTGTTTGAACTTCCAGCACAAGCCCAGGAGAAGCTGCGTGTTGATTTCCAGCATTTTCGATGAGCTTTTCTTTCTGTAAGAAAGAGGAAAGCCTAAGTATTATCCTTCAATTCAAGCGATGTTTCTTATGGGAACTGGAGAAAAATAAGGAAAAAAAGTGTTGGCCTAAAGTCTTAGAGAAAGCAGAAAAGCCATTTTGACCTGAAGATGAGCACAGAATTTTCCATAATTTTCTGTTTTTGGAAAGACTGCTTTTTCTCAGTGTTTTCAGTGGAAAGTTTCTTTTCATCCTTCATTGGAGTAAGGTTCTCAGTAAACATCCCCTGTATTTTAGCCTAGCTAACTACAAATTTGTATTCAAAGTAAGGTCATTGCTGACTGTTGGGCCTTCTTTTCCTATGAGGACTTGCAGCCAGACGCATCCAATGGAAACAAGAACTCCATACAGATGCTTTTCTTAAACTCTTCCTTACCCCAGGAGAACCAAAGCAGTCTTTCCTACCGCTGGAATCAGACCGACTGTATTTTCATGCTGAACATGTGCAGTTAAAGTCCTCCTTAGCACAGACAGGTAATTAAAGTTTCATCCGCACCATCTCCTGCTTGGGAGGTTTGCTAAAATTAAATTCAACCAAAGGAGCAGCTGTTAGTGCTGCAGAAAGGCCATGTAAAATACATTCATACATTGCAAATGTGAAAAGTAGAATGTGTCGTGGTCACAGGTCATTTGAGGGAAAAAATAAACAAACTAGCAATAAGGCAGCACTGTGTATTACCCGTCTCTGCGGGAGAAATTTATGTGCTTTCACCCAGCATGCTTGGGGTCAGGCTTGATGTGCTTTAATTGATGGACAAATAGTGTATTTAATTTAACATTTAGCCATCTGTCAAGGTGGCAGATGAAATCCTTGGCGTTGATACTGACTCTACTGTGCGTGTTCTGCGTGAAATCCTTTCCGTTATCAGTCTTGGGGAGCCCCAGTGGCTCCCAGCAGTCTTGCTTAATCCCAGGAATAATCAGAGAGAAACCCATCAATCTGTCCTCTAGATGCATTCTCTTTTTTTCCTCCTTTCTTCCAGCGTTCTTGCTAAAAAGTAACAGCTCAGGTTCTGTGCTGCTTATTTCTAATGGATCTGATCGCAAAATGTCCTCTGCTTTTTTTAGTGTTCACTGTCTATTGAGAGTTGAAGAATAGTGGTTTCTAAATTAATTTGAAGATGTCCTGTAAAATGTAAGCTCTGAAACACAGCCCCATTATTGTATCCCCTTAAGTATGGCACCCTGCATACACTGGGTCTCTTTTTATCTTTAGATACACAATGCTTTGCTCTCTGTTTTATGTACAAAGGAAATTAAATGTATTTTTTTCTATAAAAGATGAGATCTTCATCCATCACCAGCTGTCAGCTCCTAATAATGTTGCCCAGAGAAGTGTTATCTGTGATTTAGTGGCTTTAGTGGACTATCTTTTGTTGAATAGAGGATGGCAGAATAAAATTTCAGCTTAATATAGCTCTTTTCATACTCCCTCTGAATAACAGAGGAAAGGAGGAGAGAAAGAGCAAATAATCTTGGCTTCCCAGCTCAAGTTTCTTCTGTTTTACAGTACATAGCGCATTTTAGAAAAGGAAAGAAAATAAAAAGAAACTAAGAAAAAATAATTTAAGAAGTGGAAAGAAGAAAAGCTTAGGAACAAAAATAGTATTAGAAAACAGTGTTCTTTCTGACTGGTCCCTCTGGATAGAGGAAAAAGGAAAACCATTTCTGTCTCAGGAAGAACTTCTGGGCTTAAAAATGCTCTTGTCTCAAGTCAGAATGAAAAGTCAGGTATTGTGTTTTGAAAGGCGGTGGTTTTATAAATGATTTTGAGTGAACAGTGATGTTTTATTTTGCTTTTTGTTTTTTCCTGTTCTTGATTCTTTTTTCTCAGGGAGCTTAACTTCAGTAATGAAAAGCCACTGGTCTTAAAAGCATATTTTTCGCTCAAAAGAACATCAACACAGAACGTTTCAGCAATTTCCAAAACTTTTTCCCCCCCAGAAAATATTCTCAGTAAGAGTGATGTAACAACATAGGTTCCTCTCAATGAACAGGTTACTAAATGTC